TTAGGTCACCCTTGATTGCTTATATAAATAGTCAACCTTGATTTGGCTCATTCTTAATGACAAGTCAACCTCTCTCTCTCTCTCTCTCTCTCTCTCTCTCTCTCTCTCTCATACGAGTAAAATCTTTGATTCTTGGAATCAAAGACTTGGTTTCTTTGTAGTCCATGGAGTTCTTCGCCGGAGCGAGAGTAGTCCGCCTGCGGAGCTTCAACAACAAGTACCTCATGGCGGAGCACGACATGAAGCGCGTGAGCCTGCACCAGCGTGATGCCTGGCTCGGTGGCCGGTGGACCGTCGATGTCATCACCAATCACCTAAACATGCCTGCGCTCCGTTTCCAGAGCTGGTGCGGCCATTACCTCGCCGTGGACAGGAAGGTCTTGCGGCAGATCCCCGATGGTTTCAGTGAACATGTAGGGTGGCAGCCGCTCCAAGAGGGCTCCCGTGTCCTTCTCAGGTGCAACTTAGTGGACTACCTCCGGGCGCATGACAGCCACATGCCGTGGGAACCCTCTGTGACGGTCGGCACCCCGTCATGGCGACAGTACCGGAACTGGTATCAGTGGCACGTTGAAGTCGTCGAGACGCAAGAGCAGCCGCCAATCCCACCGCCGCTCCAACCAGTAGAAGCAACCTTCGGCACTGCCATTGCCTCCACATCCACGGAAGCCCGACCCTCTTCCTCCCGAGGAGCGGAACCATCCCACCGTCCCAATGTTCCTACCCGAATTCTCAGCCGCGCTGGTGCTCCCTCCTCATCCATGGTTGTCATCCCCTCCTCATCGGCCAATGCGCCCGCTCCGGCGACCGGAGGAGCTGCTGCCTCCTCGTCCATGGCTGCCATCCCCTCCTCATCGGCCAATGCGCCCGCTCCGGCGACCGGAGGAGCTGTTGCCTCCTCGTCCGTGGCTGCCATCCCCTCCTCATCGGCCAATGAGCCCGCTCCAGTAACCGGAGGAGCTGCTGCCTCCTCGTCCATGGTACCCGTCCCCTCCTTGTTGACCACTGACGCTGCAGCCTTCTCCTTGACGGCCAGGGCTGCTGCTCCCTTACCCCTTACTGCATTCCAGCAGTTACAGGTCTGTTGGTTTCGCAGCAAACTGGCCATGTTCTTGGACTGTATTCTTTCTGAATCTTGAAGATATTCTCTGCCCGATGATGTTCTTTAACTTACTTTCGTCTTTCATTTTTCTTGCTCTAAACGTGCTTTTCTTCTGCTCGATGCACCAGACGGAGGATCGGACTATCAGCTATTTGATCGCGACTGATTATGGAAACGTATATGAGGGACGAGGAGTTGGCAGCTTCATCTTCACTGGATCCAGTACCTCTGAGTTGACGCGAAGGTTGCAGGAAGAAACAGGTCTCAACGACATCTACGTGTGCGCTTGGAGCCGGCTAAACCATCACTACATTCCTCTCGGCAAGCAGCTGCTACCCAAGTACGAGTTCACTCATCACATGACGGTGTTCAATGCCAGTTCCAGGGGTGAGTTTTCTTCTTTCCATGGCTGTGAGTTGTGTCTTCTTCTTTTCGGGACTGGTTTACTTCTTGGTTGCAGCTGTGTACGGTTCGTTCGCCGGGAAGGATATCCGCCTGCGCAGCGTCCAGGAAGAAAAGTACGTCGTGACGAACAGGTGCCGGAACCCGGATAATCACGATGGCCTGGTGGACCGTGGCCGATGGACGGCGGAGGTCATCACCAACAGCAGAAACCAGCTCCGTCTCCGGTTTCGGAACTGTTGCGGCAGGCACCTTGCTGCTCGCCTAGAGTTGTTCATCTTGGATGGGCTCCGCGACGACGAAGCAGCGCAAGTTCGCCGCGCCCGCTATGAGTGGTCGCTGGTCCCCGTGGGGTACCGGTTTCTCCTGAGGTGCTTCTCCGACGACTTTCTGAAGGCGGTTCCGGAGCCGCAGTATGTGGTGGTTCACGAGACAGCCCTAAGGTTGTACAAACTATCGAACTGTCACATGCAGGGCATCCACACGTTGGACCAGTTTCTGTGGGAAATCGAACTCGACTTTGCCGATGCATCTTCTTCGTCCCCACCCTCTTCCTTCCAGCCAGCATCCATGCCGAATAATATCGAACCACGTTAGTCGATGGGACCACCCTCCGCCGCTTGTTGTCTCTCAATTCCGTATGAATGTTGTACTGATGCAAATCTGTGGATTCTCGATTGGTCTGTGTTGCAAACTGGCATCCTTGCTCGTTGTTTGAGCTCAAGTTCGATATGTCATCAATTTTAGTAGTGCTGAGATAAACTGAACCGAAATTGTTCGGTTCAACCAAAATAAATTTGTTTCGCGGAGGATAAGTCTTTCTTGAAGCTTTTCACCGATGGTTACAGTGCACATATAAGATATGCTCCACCAGGTCAAAGATGTGCGATCATCAGATACAGCTCCACAAGTGAATGAACTCAAACAGTGATAAAACACAAAGGTTCAACTAAGACATAACTATTATACTCGTCTAAAGTATTTTGTTCCTTGCATATATATATATACTTGAATCAATCTCTAAAGATTAGGTGGAAACTTAACGAGGGGTAGAAGTAACTTCTCCTCACATGTACCATGGTGAGTGAGGAAGTCAGAAGGCTAGTTCGCTTCAGATGGGTGAAAGAGAATACTACTTGTTCAAACCTCTATCGAATCAAACTCAATTTGCTCAAGAATAATTCAACAACTCAATATATTCAAGATATTCATTGTAACTTTAGAATCGGACCACAGGTGGAAGGAGTCATATTCTTAGAGCTAGCTTTCAAAAGAACAAGTAAGATAGTGTGTAACTCGTGAAAAAGGATGAGACTTCTTTGGCTATTTTTGTCGCCACTATAACTATTGACATACCCATATGATCTCTGAGTACTCCACCTAACTCGGTTATGAAATCAGATAACAAGGCATTTGCATGCAGAATAACAACTAAATAAGTGATCGAGGCCAATGATGCAAAGTGTACTCGAGAATCTTAAACATGGGGCGCAAATTTCAATTTTCAGTGATGGCTTGATTTGATGCATTGTTCTTCAACATAATTGAGACATCTCTATAATATTTTTGTAACATCATCAATTATTACAGAGAAGATAAGGTCTAGAGATCTCTAAGTATTTTTTTAAAATCTATTATTTCTCTTAGCTTATACATAATAAAACTATTATTTCTCATCCAACTAAAAAAACTATCGTTTGTCACTTTGGCTACTTTTATCACTTTGGCGAGACAAAGTATATCCCTCATTTAAATAATCTATTTATAGTATTCAGCCTATTTAAACAAGCTAACTAAGAGATAAAAGAAAATTGAGGAAATTTACGGCCTCCAATGTTTGATAAGTTGATTTCAAAATGAATTCACTAGAATTTGAAAGCTTCCAAACCACACAATCTTTATGGGTTATCAAAAAAGTGTTAGTCATACGGAGACTATCCCAAATGGGAATGAGGGCCGAGGAACGGGGGTGGTTGACCTTCAAAGCTCGTTCCTTTTGAATATGAACAATATGATATCTCATATTATATAAAATCTCCGATGACAAACTTTAAAACTTCTCTCCGATGTTAATAGTCAAGTTAGATATAAATATATTCCCCATCATCAATAATATTAATAATGTTGTATAATTCATTACTTTGAACCTATAATATGCTTGTAAAGCTCTAGGAGCAAACACTAGGGATAGAAATAGATCAAAAGTTACGGTTCATATACCTTCTTGTAATCTATCAAACCCAAAGTGAGTCCTTTTTTAAAGCAACTATCCAAATAAACCATTACAAGGATGCTTGGTTGAGGGATTTGGTGTTTTGAAGACCAATCCCACATGTATGCAGTGATTTACAGACAGCTTACCTAGTGACCTTATGAAGTCCCTTAGATTCCTCTCCTTATTATAGGAATAGATCATCATTTGCTCTAACCGATGGATAATTTTCTAACGGAGAAAAAATATGCTACCTAATATATTATTTTTTTAATAATATTTTTTGGATAGTTGAATATAGCCAACATAAGAGATAGTGGCTCTTTCAATATTAGATTATATTCATAATAGACTGCACGAGGGATATGCAATCTAAGAAGGATAATATCTTGCTAATCAAAGGTATGTCAAAGAAAGTGGTAGGAAGAGAACCAATAGGTATGTGTAATAAGTTTGATACATCTTGCTGAGTATCTCGTAAACATCTTGCAAAGAATAGAAGAGACTTTTCTGCATTGTTTTACAGTCCAAAATCATTACCAGGGTTTATGACAATGATAATATAGTTGAAATTTTTCTTAGATATTTGTATTATATAAGTGATTGGTTAGATTCTATATAATAATTAAAAAGAGATAAGGGCCATATGACAATCTTGTTTGAGACCCCTAGTCCCCTTTAATAATCTCACATTAATACTATTTAA